TCAGGTCGAGACCCCGATGAGGACGACAAGCATGCAGATGAGCTTCCCTGAGACGGTTCCTGACAGTTTGTGCAGAAATTCTTTGGCTATGCAAACCGATTGTTGCAGCAGCTGTCCGGGTGGCTGGTCTCAGACGATCTTGGAGGTGAACATGCTGGATGTGGAGGTCCTGGGCTGGTGTGGTTACACGTGGTCTGTGGTTGTGAGGCTGGTTGGATGTACTGCCAAATTGTCTGAAACGCCTTTGGAGACGGCTTATGGTAGAGAAATGAACATTCAATTCACGGGCAACAGCTCTGGTGGACATTCATACAGTCACCATGCCAATTACACGCTCCCTCAAAACTTGCGACATCTGTGGCATTGTGCTGTGTGATAAAGCTGCACATTTCAGAGTGGCCTTTTACTGTGGCCAGCCTAAGGCACACCTGTGCAATAATCATGCTGTCTAATCAGCATCTTGATATGCCACACCTGTGAGGTGGGATGGATTGTCTTGGCAAAGGAGAAGTGCTCACTAACACAGATTTAGACAGATTTGTGAGAAATGGTCTTTTGTGTGTATAGAAAATGTTTTAGATCTTTGAGTTCAGCTCATGAAAAATGGGAGCAAAAACAAAAGTGTTGCGTTTATATTTTTGTTCAGTGTAGAATAACAATTCTATACCTTGACTTGTCACATATTTACACAAGTTAAATGCTAAGTTTGGACGGAGTCCTTGATCAACATTTTAATGAGTGGAACACACTCACTTCGACCTGTTTTACATATTTGTGTAATATTGGTCACATCTGCACTGAGTGCTTTTTTTTCCAAAGAGGGGGTAGGCCACACCCCTCTGTCCCAATACCAAGGGGGGTCAGACATTGTTATAGTTCAGTTAAAATTCGCACCTCCACATTCCTGATTTTTTTTTTTTTTTTTTTTAGCTCTAAGACGTGTGTGAAAATATCTGAGGAGAGAATCCTGAATATGTGCCATCATTAATTCTTCTCACTGCTTTAATTATCTGTTTTATATTTATTGTTTTTATATTCATGTTTTTTTATTTATTGTTTCTATATTCATGTTTTTTCATTTATTGTTTCTATATTCATGTTTTTATATTTGTGTTTTTATATTTATTGTTTTTATATTTGTTTTTACATTCATGGTTTTGGAAATATTGTTTCTATATTTTTGTTTTGATATTTACGCCTTTTTTATGTTTTTTATTTATTGTTTTTATATTCATGTTTTTTATTTATTGTTTTTATATTAATTGTTTTTATATTTAGGTTTTTTATCTATGTTTTTATATTTAAGATTTTTATATTTATGTTTTCATATTAATGCTTTTTACATTAATTGTTTTTTATATTAATGTTTTTATATTTATGTTTTTACATGAATTGTTTTTATTTATTTTTTATATCAATTGTTTTTATATGTATGGTTATTAAATTTATGTTGTTTATGGTCATGTCTATTGTCTGTAATGTATGCTGGTCTGTGTAGTTCCACATATCCCACTGTGTCCCAACTGATCCAACAGATCCAACAGATTCACCTGATCCAACAGATTCAACAACTGATCCTCCTGATCCACCAGATCCACCTGATCCTCCTGATCCACCAGATCCACCTGATCCTCCTGATCCACCAGATCCAACAGATCCACAAAGATCCACCAGATCTAACTGATCCTCCTCACCTCCTCCACATGTGTGTGTATCCTGTACAGTGTGTCCAAGTGATCCAAGTGATCCACCTGATCCACCTGATCCACTAGATCCTCCTGATCCAACAGATCCACTTGATCCAACAGATCCAACTGATCCACCTGATCCAACAGATCCAACAGATCCACCTGATCCACCTGGTCCAACTGATCCACCTGATCCAAATGATCCACCTGATCCAACTGATCCAATCAATCAATTTTATTTATAAAGCCCAATATCACAAATCACAATTTGCCTCACAGGGCTTTACAGCATACGACATCCCTCTGTCCTTAGGACCCTCACAGCTGATCCAACTAATCCAACTGAAGCTGTTATAACAGAGCTGAGAATCACTGAGGTGTTGGTATAAATACAGTGACACTTGCACTGATGCTGATTTTTTTAATTGCTTAAACATATTTTTGTTGCGACTTCGTCTGCAGCAGGACGAATCTGAGCATCTGTAGATTTGATCTGATTTATCACAGACAGAAACTATCAATAAAGCAGAGACAACGCACAGGTCGGACCATCATCTTTAACTATAAATAAATTAATGACAGCAGAGACAACAGACAGGTCGGACCATTGTCTGTAACTATAAATACATTAATGACAGCAGAGACAACAGACGGGTCGGACCATCGTCTGTAACTATAAATAAATTAATGACAGCAGAGACAACAGACAGGCCGGACCATCGTCTGTAACTATAAATAAATTAATGGCGCCAAAGACAATAGACGGGTTGGAACACCGTCTGTAACTATTAATAAATTAATGACGGCAGAGTCAACAGACGGGTCGAACCATCGTCTGTGTACGTTACAGCTGAAAGTAACAACAGATGCTCTCTAAAACTGTGACATACTTCCTGTTTTCTACCCGACTGTTGTTGTCAGCGTGACGTCACAGTGATGCGTTCGATACACCGCTCCAAACATTTAACCCTCTGATCCACCTGCAGGCTGACCTCAAAGGTCAAGGGTCGTCAGTGTCTCACAGCAACACAAAGAACAATCTGTCACTGTTCTCAGCTCAGAGTCTGAAACCTGTGGAACATCTCTGTGACCGTATCACTCAGACCTCCACCCTCAGATCTCCACACTCAGGTCTACTTCACTGCTCCACCTCCACGTAAACACACTTAAACTCAATATTTCAGTGTTAAGTTCAACCACAGCCTGGTGGAGACACCAGAGGTCCAGAGAGACGTCTCCTTGCTGAGGACACAGCTCAGGACACTGCTGAGGACACACTGATGAATATCAAGTCCTCTGCTGGAGGACGACATGAACACGTCACCCGTGGGTTAAAGACAAATGTCTAAGGGGCTGAAAAGTTTTCATGACACTGTGTGACATCACGAGTCTGTGTGACATCACGTTATGTGACTGTCACAGATAACTAATGATGACACGTCAGTATGGTCTTTATCTCAGACAAACAAATTCACTTCCTGTCCTGAGGGATGTGTGTGCATACTGACTTGTAGAGCGTGAGGTCCGTCTGGAGGTCTGCAGAGACTTTGGGGATGGATGGCGGTGGATGTCTGGTGTCCTGAGGGTGACGCGTCTCGATGGCCTCCTGAGGACTCAGGTGAACGGTGACGGGAATGACGGGCAGGATGCTGATGTACCTGAAACAAGATGACAGTCATCATGTTCACAGACGTTACAAACACTTGACAACGTGACCACAGATCAGCAGGAACATTATATTTTTTTTCAATGGACTTAAGACGTTTCCTGTCACTGCAGGTCATTCTTAATGTTTGTGATTGTTTTTCTGATCACTAATAAATACAAAAGGGGGCGTGGCTTGACCATTGATTAATTGGGTCAGGCAGGTGGGTGGCGCGTTGGTGCTTTGGTGTCAAGGTCCCACCCACACACCTGCACAGGCTAAGTGATGTCACCAGGGCAGGATGGCGGCGACCATACTGGGATATTCTACAGTGGGAGGAAGTGGAGACGCGTCGGCCATCTTTACCTAAAGCCTGTTTTAATGGTTAACTGTTACACAGTGAACCAGAATAATTCAACCACCTCTGTGTGTTGACAGCTCACATCTAACATCAACCTTGAGTCAGCAGTGTGATGACCTCGGACAGACGGACTCAGGTTCAGCTCACCTTTTGGCTAACGTGATGTTGTAGTAACTGAAGAGTGAAGGCCAGTGTCTGAAGGACAGCCTCCTCCAGCCCTCCTCATCCTCGGCTCCCCAGGTAATTTGAGGCACCGCGGGGGGTGGGGCCTGGGGTAGGGGCCCTGCCCTGGCAGCGCTGTGGTGGCCCTGTGATTGGTTCTCAGGTAAGGGGGTCGGATCCGGTGCAGGGTGGATGCTGAGGGTGCTGGTAGGATCGCCTCCACGGAAGACGGGGGCCACGCCCAGGTGAGGAGCCAGGCCGCCTCCCCCAGGATCTCCCAGAGGGCTTTGCTCAGACACCTGTGCTGCCAGGTAGGTGCGTATTCCTGCAGGGTCGGTGTAGACCAGGATGCCGATCCAGATCACTGTGCCAACCTGAAACACGCAAGTCATCAGAGGGTGAAGAGCAGTGTGTTCCTTTATGTTCATATTTACATTCATCTCATCACACATGACATCACATTGTTACATCATCAGGTGTCGCTCATCATTCCTCCACCTGCTGTCACAACAAACACACACACACTGTACAGGATACACACTATACACACACAGTGAGGTCACGGCATCTCACCATGATGATGCGCTGAGCGAGGCGTGTGCGTGCCAGGAAGTAGACGACACGCAGCCTCTTGGGGAGCCTCAGGTTCCTGAAGGTGGGGGTCTGCAAGGTAATGGTGTGGGGGGAGGGCCGTGGGGGAGGGGGCACCTCACGTGGACGCAGCGGACCGGACTTGGGCGGTGGAAGTCCTGCTTCAGCTGGCAGGCGGCGGTTCAAATCAGCCAGCTGAGAGAGAGTGAACGGAAAGGTTTCAACGCAAGGGTTGGGGGGTAAAAAAAATGAGCTGATGACCAAAATGACTGACAGTTTTATTAATCACATATGTCACATCTAACATGTGCTCTTTATCTGAGCTGTGTGTATGTGTGTGTGTATGTGTGTGTGTGTGTGTGTGTGTGTGTGTGTGTGTGTGCTCACCTCCATCCGTCTGATGTCAATCGACAGAACTGTGGTGAAGAAGAACATTTGCAGGAAGAAGTCAGAGACCAGACCGACCACGGCGAACAGGCAGAACTCCTGTTAGACACACACAGCACGGGTTAGCATCATGCTAAATCTGTAAGCACCTGTTCCTGCTAACATGCTAAATCTGCTAGCATCTGTCCCTGCTAACATGCTACACATGTTAGCATCTCTGACTGCAGTATAATAACAGTGTGCAAACCGCTAACATGCTACATAGGTTAGCATCTCTGTCTACAGTATAATCACAATGTGCTAACTGCTAACATGCTACACAGGTTAGCATCACTGACTGCAGTATAATAACTGTGCAAACTGCTGACATGCTACACAGGTTAGCATCTCTGTCTACAGTATAATCACAGTGTGCTAACTGCTAACATGCTACACAGGTTAGCATCTTTGTCTACAGTATAATCACAGTGTGCTAACTGCTAACATGCTACATAGGTTAGCATCTCTGACTGCAGTATAATAACTGTGCTAACCGCTAACATGCTACACAGGTCAGTATCTCTGACTGACGTATAATAACAGTGCTAACTGCTAACATGCTACAGTTTGTTATGAGGAGAAACGTCAGTTTTTTGGACAGAATGTGTTGACAGACGGACGATCATCATGTTGATAAACACACAATGTCAAAATCAGAATCAGAATAAACTTTATTGTCCTCAAGGAGGAAATTTGTGTTGGACGTTCAGTGCCTGGTGGCTGTAAACACATTAAATCACAAACATACAATTTACATACGTCCATGAACATCAATAGACTACAAATTACTGTGATGTCTGGATTAACCATCAGATTGCACTGAACGTTCACAAATAATATTGCACACAGATGTCTCAGTGATGAACACATGATGTATGAACACATGAAGTCTGGGTGTGTTACCTGGATAGCAGGGACCAGGGTGAAGTATCCGATGAGGATGATGCAGAGTTCGGTGGCCATGTTCTTCATGATGGACCAGCTCTCATTACTGAGACCTGCAGGACAAACACAACATTAACGAGTGAATGACACACACATCATCAGATTTATAACTGTACAGATGAGACACTGTGTGCTCTCTGTGTGTGCTCTCTGTGTGCTCTCTGTGTGCTCTGTGTGTGTGCTCTGTGTGTGTGCTCTGTGTGTGTGCTCTGAGTGCTCTGAGTGGCCTGTGTGCTCTCTGTGTGCTCTCTGTGTGCTCTGTGTGTGTGCTCTGTGTGTGTGCTCTCTGTGTGCTCTGTGTGTGTGCTCTGTGTGTGTGCTCTGTGTGTGTGCTCTGTGTGTGTGCTCTGTGTGTGTGCTCTGTGTGTGTGCTCTGTGTGTGTGCTCTGTGTGTGCGCTCTCTGTGTGCTCTGTGTGTGTGCTCTGTGTGTGTGCTCTGTGTGTGTGCTCTGTGTGTGTGCTCTGTGTGTGTGCTCTGTGTGTGCGCTCTGTGTGTGCTGTGTGTGCGTTCTGTGTGTGCGCTGTCTGTGTGGTGTGTGTGTGCTCTCTGTGTGTGCTCTCTGTGTGCTCTCTGTGTGCTCTCTGTGTGTGCTCTCTGTGTGTGCTCTCTGTGTGCGCTCTGTGTGTGTGCTCTCTGTGTGCTCTGTGTGTGCTCTCTGTGTGTGCTCTCTGTGTGTGCTCTCTGTGTGTGCTCTGTGTGTGTGCTCTGTGTGTGTGCTCTGTGTGTGTGCTCTGTGTGTGCTCTCTGTGTGTGCTCTGTGTGTGTGCTCTGTGTGTGCGCTCTGTGTGTGCTCTGTGTGTGTGCTCTGTGTGTGTGCTCTGTGTGTGCGCTCTGTGTGTGCTCTGTGTGTGTGCTCTGTGTGTGCGCTCTGTGTGTGCTCTGTGTGTGTTCTCTGTGTGTGCTCTGTGTGTGTGCTCTGTGTGTGTGCTCTGTGTGTGTGCTCTGTGTGTGCTCTCTGTGTGTGCTCTGTGTGTGCTCTCTGTGTGTGCTCTGTGTGTGCTCTCTGTGTGTGCTCTGTGTGTGCTCTCTGTGTGTGCTCTGTGTGTGCTCTCTGTGTGTGCTCTGTGTGTGCTCTCTGTGTGTGCTCTGTGTGTGCTCTCTGTGTGTGCTCTGTGTGTGCTCTCTGTGTGTGCTCTGTGTGTGCTCTGTGTGTGCTCTCTGTGTGTGCTCTGTGTGTGCTCTCTGTGTGTGCTCTGTGTGTGCTCTCTGTGTGTGCTCTGTGTGTGCTCTCTGTGTGTGCTCTGTGTGTGCTCTCTGTGTGTGCTCTGTGTGTGCTCTCTGTGTGTGCTCTGTGTGTGCTCTCTGTGTGTGCTCTGTGTGTGCTCTCTGTGTGTGCTCTGTGTGTGCTCTCTGTGTGTGCTCTGTGTGTGCTCTCTGTGTGTGCTCTGTGTGTGCTCTCTGTGTGTGCTCTGTGTGTGCTCTCTGTGTGTGCTCTGTGTGTGCTCTCTGTGTGTGCTCTGTGTGTGCTCTCTGTGTGTGCTCTGTGTGTGCTCTGTGTGTGCTCTCTGTGTGTGCTCTGTGTGTGCTCTCTGTGTGTGCTCTGTGTGTGCTCTCTGTGTGTGCTCTGTGTGTGCTCTCTGTGTGTGCTCTGTGTGTGCTCTCTGTGTGTGCTCTGTGTGTGCTCTCTGTGTGTGCTCTGTGTGTGCTCTCTGTGTGTGCTCTGTGTGTGCTCTCTGTGTGTGCTCTGTGTGTGCTCTCTGTGTGTGCTCTGTGTGTGCTCTCTGTGTGTGCTCTGTGTGTGCTCTCTGTGTGTGCTCTGTGTGTGCTCTCTGTGTGTGCTCTGTGTGTGCTCTCTGTGTGTGCTCTGTGTGTGCTCTCTGTGTGTGCTCTGTGTGTGCTCTCTGTGTGTGCTCTGTGTGTGCTCTCTGTGTGTGCTCTGTGTGTGCTCTCTGTGTGTGCTCTGTGTGTGCTCTGTGTGTGCTCTCTGTGTGTGCTCTGTGTGTGTTCTCTGTGTGTGTGCTCTGTGTGTGCGCTCTGTGTGTGCTCTGTGTGTGTGCTCTGTGTGTGCTCTCTGTGTGTGCTCTCTGTGTGTTCTCTGTGTGTGCTCTCTGTGTGTGCTCTCTGTGTGTCCTCTGTGTGTACGCTCTCTGTGTGTCCTCTGTGTGTGCGCTCTCTGTGTGTCCTCTGTGTGTCCTCTTTGTGCTCTGTGTGTGTCCTCTGTGTGCTCTCTGTGTGTGTTCTCTGTGTGTGCTCTCTGTGTGTGCTCTGTGTGTGTCCTCTGTGTGCTCTCTGTGTGTGCTCTGTGTGTGCTCTCTGTGTGTGCTCTGTGTGTGTGCTCTCTGTGTGTTCTCTGTGTGTCCTCTGTGTGTGCGCTCTCTGTGTGTCCTCTATGTGTGTGCTCTCTGTGTGTGCTCTGTGTGTGTCCTCTGTGTGCTCTCTGTGTGTGCTCTCTGTGTGTGCTCTGTGTGTGTGCTCTGTGTGTGT